TAGGAAAGGCAGAGAGAGACCAGGCATTCCCGCGCTGAAAACATGCGCTGGAGGAATCCGGCGGTCGGATTTGGAAACTCTTCTCCCCTCTTCTCTTGCTTAGCTGAGAAGCAAAGATCTTGATGACTCTCCTTCCGGGGCAGCTCACGCTCCAGGCACCCAAGGCAGCTGGACATGCTCTGCCCTGCCGGGCAGTACGGTCATCTCTCTGCACGTCCTCCCCCAAGGATGGCAGGAGATCTCGCCCGTGCCCTCCGCCCTTCCTTCCCGTCAGTCTGACACGATCCTTATGCATCGTGCTGGTTGTGCTTTGCCCCTCGCTGGCCTGCTCAGGCCTGTCCGGAGGTAGAAGCCAGCTTCCGTCAGACCCACGGAGATTCCTGCGGGCCTGGAGATGCCTCAGGAAGCAGGCAGGAAAATGGCTCAGGCCCCCGGCCTTGAGGGTCCTCAAGGATCAGCCACGTAGCAATGCCTAGGACCCCAGGGTGCAAACGCCCACAGAGGTTTTGTGGCCCCTCCTCTCCTTCACTAAAGGCCAATTGGTAGAGCAGTCCCAGTGCCGGGGCGGGTGGCAAGGAACTGAACTGCGATGGCAGTGGCTTTGGTTGGGAGCGAACCCGGTGCCTGGCTTTATGGCCGCTATATGCAAACGCATGGCACGTGGAGAGGAAGATATGCGGCACTTGAGCTCTTGCGGGTAGGAGACCAACGGCCCCATTCTCTGGGCAGAGGAGGTCAAGAGAGGCAATGAGATCCCACGTGGGACCAGGCTGGCCCAAAACAGCCAGAACAGGAGGATGGCTTTTCATTGCTCATGTTTCATGCTCTAAGGCCTGGGTTATAATCAGGGGACTCCCTGCACCTGCTGACAAAGGGGCAGTTTCATCGCTCAGTCAGTGCCATGGTCTGCCCCTGCCCCTCTCCATGCCCTAGAGCCGGGGGCCTGGCTAATGCAACAGCAGAGCCATTGGGTCCAACAGACACAGCTTCTGTAGAGACATCCATTTCCCACTGTAGAGACGTCATCACCAGGGTGGCCAGGTTGTTCCCCCAAACTGGGATGTGGCCCTCACCCCAGGAACACGGGGAGGGGCTGGGTTTTGGCAGGGCCTCCGAGCAAGAGCCGTGGGGGAGCCTTGTTCCCCGTGGCACTTTGTTGCCAGACGAAGTATAAACCTCTTCCCCTTTATCCGCGTGTGTAGTTCGCAGGAAGTGTACGAGGTAGTGTGAACACAGCTGTGCTTTTGTGCAAGTGGGGGGCAGCAGGGCCAGCCTGGGGACACACCTCTGGGGCCGGGAGCAAAGAAAGCACGAAGGACAACCTTGCTTCCGAGAACCCGATAGACATATCACCGGTGACGCAGTCCAGCCCGGTGGGCAGGTGCCGTTCTCCCCGCCCGGGGGCATCTTTAACGCTGCATGGTGGGTTCCCATGCATCTGTGCAAGCAGCGTGGGGCACTGGCTTGGCATATGGGAGCCGCCAGCGTCATGATTGGGGCCCCCGTATGCAGAGGCCCTTGTGAATCGGCAGTGCCAAGTTGCATATCTGCAGGATGGAAAAAGACCCCAATCAAAAGAAAGGAAACTGAGTCTGTTCACCAAAGCCACATCACCTCTTACACAGAACTGCCCGTTCCTTGCCTCTCCCGGGCTGAACCTGGTTAGAGCATCATCCACGACACCAACCATTCGCAAGGCACCCTGTTCCCATCTTGTTCCTCTTCTTCTTTTATATGGGTTTCTAATACATGTGAGCAAGGAAGCAAAGTGGAGATGAATCCCCTTATCTAGAACACTTGGTGGCTGCAGGAATGGATGCACTCTGATACACACACGCGCACACACTCCACATATCAAAAAAATGCCACGGTCCAAAACTAAGACGACTTAAAAACCAAGTTAAAAGGCCAGGTCCTCCGTTGGCTTTTATCCTTCATTAAGAGCAAGAAGATTACCTGAAATCATGATTTGTTTTCCATATTCTGCCTGAGTTCACTTTAACATCCCAATCAACAGCTGCATCGGGGAGATCTGCAGGGGAGCTTTAGGCTCTGGAAGGGAAAATTATGGCCTGTTTATTCTTCTTTCTAATTAGGGAATTTTTTTTTTAATTTTTTTTTTTTTTGTCTTTTGGTTTCCAGTTGCATGAAAGAAAGTTCAAGGAAGATTTTGCCCTGAATGCGTTATCGTCTTTGTTC